GAGAGAGAGAGAGAGAGAGAGAGAGAGAGAGAGAGAGTAAGAGAGAGATCGACAGCAGTGTTCACCGACTACAAAAAATTCACCACTGACCGCCAACGACTTTGTAAAATATACGTTTTTCGAGAAATCGCGCAGGGCAAAAAAACGACGACGCAATCGAACGCCGTTTATTTCCGAATCGTCGGCGAGACGAGAGCAGCGGGGAAGCGATCGACGCGTGTGTGTCGGGTGGCATTAATACCTGCGGCTCTGTGCCGCCGCTCACCCATTAGCCGCGCGCGCGCCGCATCCGCCTTGCTCCTCGCACGTTCACGACAGCACGGGAAACTCTTTAGACGCTCGCGCTCTGATTTCGCTCGCCGAAATTGAGTTCGTTTAAGCTGTGGACACACTACGCGATTTTTCATGCGATCGGGCCGGCCCGTCGGTCGAACCCGTACGCTGCTGCCACCTACGTACACATCGTTTTTGCTATTTTCAGGGAGAGAGTGATTCACCTGCTAGCCGTTAGGTCCTACCGCAAGCCAGAGCTGCTAGCAAGGCTCATGAAAGGTAACTAGCGCGGACGCGGGCGGGGCCGGGGGGGGGGAGTAACGAAGCAGTGACGTCACTCAGGGAAAAAAATATAATTTATTTTTCGGGGGCTACTTTTCAAGCTCGCGTGCATGAAAATAGCACTCTAAAATTTGGTTTGCATTGAACTCTATGCAAATTTACGGGGGCTCTTTTTGGCATTTCCGGGGCTCTTTTTGGCATTTCGGGGGGCTAAATCGCCCCGAGCCCCCGTGAATTTTTTTCACTGACGTCGCTGCAATCGTCCGCCCGATCTCTCTGCGCGTGCGCGTCACACATTGTAAATCTTGTGCATGCTTGTCATGGCTCACTATCAGTCGCGCGCGATAATGTGACACACGCCCGTCGTGTGACGTCACCGTGTCGCGACGTCACCGCGTCGGACGTCGAATCGCCTTGTTTTTTTGTGTTTGCAGACGGGACTTTTTTGTTTAATTTTTCCGTTTTTCTTTCGTGCAGACGGGATTAGGGAGAAGGACAAGAACGTGCTAAGCACAATACTGTCGCAGACGGCCGTCATGAAGGACAACATCTACTCGCTCGCGCGCGGCCTCTACCAGACCGACGTCGACCCCAGCTGGCCTTTCTACACGGAAACGGACAAGCAGTTGCTCAAGAGGTGAGGGCGGGGGGTTGCATGG